CCCATAAAAAATGTTATAGCTGCATAAAGTCCTTAAACCTAAATAGAAAAGGTTTTTAAAAAATAGTTTTCTTCCCCTTTAGCAATAGCTCTTACTTCCTATCTTACATGGTTGACAGATGGGTTGGAGGGAAGCAAGTTCTCAGGCCTGCTGACAAGAAGGGAGTCCATATCCCCTATAAGGATTTATAGCAGATCTGCCTTTAATGAAAGGGACTTAAAGATGCTTTCAGTGGGTTCTAAACCTATTCTTGGCAATTTTGTTTTATATTCTAGTAGTTAATGTTGCTATTCCTTCTTTAGAGCCTCCTAACTCTCTGGATCTTAATGGGACTCATCCTCGGAGAATCAAACTCACAGCTCCAAATATCAATCTTTCCTTGGACCAAAGTGAAGGCTCTCTTCTCTCTGACGATAACCTGGACAGTCCAGATGAAATTGACATCAATGTGGATGAACTCGATACCCCCGATGAAGCAGATTCTTTTGAGTACACTGGCCATGGTAAGTCACTAAGTTGACTGCGGTAAATGGTAAGTCGTTGGCTGTGCTAGTCACTTCTCATCACGGTGACAAAAATACCCAACATGAACAACTTAAAAAAAGAAAAGTTTATTTGGGGCTCATGGTTTCAGACTTTCACCCCTTGGTTGACTAACTCCATTGCTCTGGGTCTGCAGTGAGGCAGATCATCATGCCACAAGGGCATGGCAGGGGAAAGCTGCTCAATTCATGGCAGCCAAGAAGCAGAGGGAAGGAGAAAGCCAGGAGCCAGGGACAAGGAGTCGTTCACTGACCTATCTCCTCTAGTCACACGACACCTGCCTACAGTTACCACCCAGTCTTCCATTCAAATTATTAACTCTTCAAATGAATCAATCCACTGATGAAGTCTACCTCTCATAATCCAATCTTTTCACCTATGAACATTGCTGCATTTCCTAACACATGAGATTTTTAAAACATATTTAGGTCCAAACTGTATCAGTGATTCCTCCTCTTTATTCAGTCCTTAATCAGTTGTCACCTTCACAGATAGACCTTCCTTGACCTTTGCCATCAAAGGTGCTTTCCGCTTCCCTATTCCTCCCACCCCATCATACCCTATCCCAAGTATTCATTTTATTTTCCATAAATCT